GCTAAAAACATGAAAAAACAATATGTATGTGGCTGCCACTCCAAACCCTTCCTCACAAATCAAACTGAGAAACGCATTAGATTTATTCAAAAGTGATTTTTTTTTTGTGACACAGTGGTTTGGAGCATCCATCTTGAACTTGTTGTTGTGCATGAGGAAGAAGACATAATAAAATATTGACAGTGGGAAACTAAAGCAGCCTCACATCGCGGGCTTCGGTGCTTGTTTGTGCCCGACATTATTATTCCTCATATACATGGAAATGCTGTGTATAAATATGAAACTCTTCTCATTTGCATCACAACTTTTACAATGAGCCATATGGTAAGACTCGGCTTCGGGGCGCAGAAACAGCCTCGCGTGGCCATTAGCGAGAGTGCCGATGCAGCTGAAAGAAGGAATATCATGCCTTCGTTGTTTGAAGCTGGTATTTATACGTTTGTGGGTGTTTCATAAATACACAATGATACATGTGGGCTTTTGTTAACTTTTCTGGACAGTGGTCATACACTGCAAAATATGATAAAATATGAAATAAACCTGTATTTATTTATTTTAATTTGAGTACACTGTCTCACCGTCTTAAAACAAAAATTACCAGTGGAACAAGTCGTCAAGTCTTATTTGAAAAACTGTTGCTTTATTTTCTCATTTAAAACTAAACAATTTTCCTTGTCAGAGTAGCAAATCTTGTTTTAAGGCAGTCAAAATGCGCTCAAATTAGGACACATTTTGCCAAATTTGGGAATTTGGGCATATTTTGGGCATTAAAAAGTGAATACAAAATAAGTTTTGTATTCACTTTTTGCAGTGTGGACCAATGGTTCCTATGTGTTATTATTACATTATGTAAAAAAATGTTTGGAATTTGGATTTGTATTTATTAAATGTCACTTTTTTTTCAGTCTTGCATTTGGGTTCCGTTTTTAACTTCACTGCTAGATAGGCCTGGGCAATAAATTGAATTTAGGCAATTAATCGGCTTTTGAAAAAATCTAATTTGTGAAAAATTTGAAAATCGTGAAATCGAATGAAGGACATTGTGAGTTCCGGCATCACAAGTTGTCTGTACAAGAAATCAAAAAATCACTTTTTTGCCATATCGCCCAGCCCTACCGCTAGACATTCTCTTGAGTTATTAAAATCTCTGATAGAGGAACATAGACTGTATATATTAATGGACAGAGTCACACCTATCTCCGCCGTTCTAACTAATGGGCCAAAAAATGTGTTCTACTGGAGCAATCCAAGATGGCCGCGAGTGGTCCCGCCCACAAGAAAATTGTGAAAAAACGCATCTGCGCATGCATCAGCTAGCGCAGCTTCATTCATTTGAACGAGAGACTTCAAAAATTCACAGCAAGTAAACTAGAGTGGACCAAAAAAATCCACCCCCCTCAGCATTGACACACATGTGAAACGGAGCTTTGGGCCAAGAGCCAACTTTTGGTCCATCCTGTAAAGACGTTTTTGAGAGGTCTGCCAATGCTATCTGTTAGCATTGGCTAATTCTACTTCTGGGTCCACCCCCATCGGCCCGGGGTGGTATTGCAAGCATGTCAGTGCACGTCATTTTGGCCACTTTTGAGCTGGGACCCTCCCCCACTGTAGAGGAATGAGTAAATATGAAATGTTTCTCCTCATTTTAGTCTCATCTGATTTAAAAGCGTCCTCTTCACCTACTGCTTATGTAGGGTTTACGCTATTAGCGCTAGTTTTTTTTGGTCTGTTCTATATCTGGGGGAATTATATTCTTGACATGGATTTTATTACATGGCTCATTTTCAATGATAGCTGCAGCTTTGAATGTAGCTCTTCATAGCCTTTACCAATAGGAAAAGTGGAGGAAAAACGAGTGAATATGATTTCTAAAGGTATTGCAAGCCACACTATTCGATATTAGGAGCATTATTCTGGCCTGGGGTGAATTATCATGTGGTCTTGTGGAAGGTCAGTGGGCTGAAATTGTAACGCAGCTCGTTGGAAACATTAGGAGGAGAAATGCTGCGTCAGGCTGTAGTCTATTGAGTCTTTGGAAACAGCATTGAAATTTATAAGCGTGAAAAAGTGCTGCAGGCAGGTACGGCAGAGCGTGTGGGGGGCAAAGAGCACCTCGCGCAGCACTACTGTAACGGCAATAATGATACAGTATATTACATGCATGCGAAAGCCAGATGAGGGCCTGGTTAGTACTGTGATGGGAGACTTCTGGGAACACCAGGTGCCACAGTGGGCTGCTGCAGTGACAAACTGTTGTTGTGTTCTTAGGCAAGACACTTCACCCACATTGCCTAGAATGATCTGATGTGTGTGTGAATGGCTGGTGGTGGTCGGAGGGGCTGACGGTGGCTCATTTCTGTCAGTGTGCCCCAGGGCAGCTCTGACCATAAGTAGTAGTTTATCACCTCTTTGTATGTACTGAAAGAATACTGACATGTTAGACTGACATACTATACACTCAGCATGGTGGCTGAGTGGATAGCACTCTCACCTCTCAGCAAGAAGGTCCTGGGTTCAAATCCTGGTCGGACCAGGGTCTTTCTGAGTGGAGTTTGCATGTTCTCCCCGTGTCTGCGTAGGTTTCCTCCGGGTACTCCGGTTTCCCCTACCACTAAAAACATGTACAATAGGTCTGGCATGCGCCTCCTGTACTGGCCCCTCCCATCTCTGTGTGGAGTGAGAGGACAATTGCCCTAAAAATAACAATTGTAAACCGCTTTGTGACTCTGGTCTATGAAAGGCGGTATAAAAATAAAGATTTCTTACTTACTACTTACTTACTAAACTTGGCTAAGTCACGGATTGCATATTAGGAGAAAAAAACTTAATTCTGAAAAATTAAATAATGTAAGTGTAGTAGTTCTAAGTACTAGGACAGTTATATGTACAAGGAATCTCTAGCTTGCCTTAGTAACTGTCTTAGCAACACGTTTGCACCTGTGTCTTCATATAAAAAAACAAAATATAAAGTCTGACATAAAGTGGTGCGTTGCCAGGCCTTTTCTACACAAACACTCTGTTTTCAAGGTTGTTACACAATGACTAAACTTCAAAGATTGACATTGTTTTAGGATTATGAAAGAAAGTTTTCAGTTCTACTGAGTGCTTTTTCTCCAGTTTTTTTCTTTACCTTTACAGTTGACAGCTGGCGTTCTGAAAGATTCTACAAATCTATCAGAGTGCATAACAGGAATATTCTGTACCGAGTGTGACATCACCAAAACATTAGCCTTAATGTGTGAGAAGCTGTTGTGAACATACGCTAGCTGGAGCCAATTTCTTTCTACTGGCAGTTTTTGGTGGCGGTAGCTTCACGCCA